ATCATTACCGGATGCTACTATTAAGTAGCTTAGAGTGCAATACGGAGTTGAACTCCGTTAATTCAACAGGCGATGCCTGCCTTGATTTTGTGACGCAGGTCATTGCAACCTGCAAGTGTTCTTCGAAGTCTTGAGCTTCATCAACTTCTGCTATCGGACTGATAGCAGGTCGGTTTGCGACTCAACTCCTACCCACTGTGATACCCACACCCAGATGTCTGTGACCCTGTAGGCGAAAGGCATTTCCGTTTGAAAGAAAATCTACCCTTGGAACCTCTCTTGAATGGCCATGCAAAAGTTGTGTGAATCGGGACGGGCGGATATGCCTTTGTTGAGTGGGGGTCGGAAAGGGACGTGTGGGACATGAACCTGGGAGCAAAGGAGTTAACCAAGTGGCATCTGCGTGTGGATTTTCATTGGATTCCATGTCTGTGCAGGTATGTATGGGAGCGATGACTCGCTCCTGAATTAAGGGTGATATGGCTGAAAGAATGAAGGGTGTGAGTGACAAGATTCAACTATGGCTGTGAGAATGGCTCTCCCTGATTTCCCCCGAGACTCACCCTTTTCTTTTTCTTATTTTGCTCCTGCCGCACGCATCTAGCGAGCAGACAGGAGAAGTCGAGCGCAAGGTTTAGCGCTCGACCTTTGTTCGGACTGAGACTTAGTCTGGGTATGGCGAATTGCTCGCCAACCCGTGACTACTCTTATTTTCTTCCTTCAGGGGAGGGACATGCAAATCCCATCTCAAAAAGAGTTTTGCTTTTTAAATTATTAGCCGGACGTTGGTCCTGAGTCTGGAATTCGAGGTCCTTGTCCAGGACATCCCAGACTTTGGTCCAGTACAAAAGGGTTTTCCCTTTGAGCTGGGCCTACGCCTCTTGCTTATGGTCACCCACTGCCTAAAAGACAGGGGTGCCGCAAAGGCCGCACGACTTATCCTTCATCCGTGCAATATCATGAAGGAAGAACCCTTCACGATATTTCGCTTCCGACACTTGAGTGTCGTACGCAACCCCGAAACCCATGGGAGGTTGCACGAATGTGGGTAATGCATGAAGCGTCGCCATGATAGCAGATTAAGTGAGAACACATGACTAAACGTTATGGTTCCCATGGCAGTGACATTCTTTTCATGCAACTCTGCGCGGACCTCGCTCAGACACATTGGTAGTTCTGAGTTATGGGTCAGGACGTATGAAAAAGGGACTAGGCTAATTTTCTTGTATGAGTTACTTTGTTTTGTCGTGTATCGCGTGGTTGAGTTAGGATGTCCTAGTCGACCGACGCTGAATCGCACGTGGGAGATCAGCGCCCCAGCATGACGATTCGCGTACGGGTCCGAGCTAGGCGTGGACCGCGCGTACCCCCTATGCTACAGCATACGAGAAACGCCCTCGGCTAGGCCACCTCCGTGATTGCAAGTAAAAGCTTTCGTGTGTGGTTCAGTAGCTCGACGGGGATACGCCCACCCAAGGGATGGTGAAAGCTCCCACAGGTGGAGGTAAGTTGTACCCCGCGAGACCCTGTCCTGTCGTAGGGACTCGATGGAGGTATAGCTGGCGCACTCGGCCGGAGCGGCTCCGCCGCTTCCCTTTTCGTGAAGCGACTTGCGAATTCTGCCAATCCTGCGTGATGCGGCCGGGAAGGTTCCCCCAGCAGGGACCGTGCGCTCGACATCGCGCTACCCCGAGATTCCGACAACTGGTTAAGAGAGCTATCTAATCGCGCAGCCGGAATTTATAGCGCGCATGCATGCGGGAAGAACACGGAATTGCAAGGACTCAGGAAGGGAGAAGGGAAGGGATTGCCTACGTTCTGCACGGCCAGACCGCGGCGTGGGGGACGTAGCCACTCTCCACGCATCGATCCGATCATGCAGCCCGCGGGCTAGACATCCACGGCAAAAGAAAAGGAGAGGGCAGGAAGGATGAAGCTCAAGAAGAGAGATACAGTTACAATGGGGCCTGCCCAAAAATTACAGTTACACACGAGATTAAGGGCGCCGACTAATCAAAGCTCCGCTACAGCCGCAAAAAGAAGCGCGCAAGAAAGACCGCACGGCAAAAGAAATCCCAAATTCCTAAATTCCTAAATTCCTAAATTCCTAAATTCCTAAATTCCTAAACTTATTGCAAAAAGAACTTTAATAAAACGCAAATGAAAGTCCGAAATTCCGAGAGCCATCGATGGCCCGACAAGATTTGAAAAAGAAATTCAAAAAAAAGGAGCAAAACTTCCCGCGCGACCTTTGCGCCTAAAACCCGACAACAGAACAAGAAAGAAGCAATGTCAAACATTATTAATCGCGCCTTTGTCGGCGCGACAGCTACTCAATCGGCCATCTCGGGACTTGCCCGGCCCTGAACTCAGCCATCGACGAAAAAGAAAAGACGAAAAAGCGAGGACACCGATGCAATTTCCTTTCGATGCCGATCTCCCGTAATTGGCCCATCCTTCCCATCTTAGGACCCCTTATTATCATCGAGCAGAAAATCACGCGGAACAGAAATTGGTTCGTCACATGGTGGCCAGGATGTCTATGTCGCCCTCTAGCTTCTTCTCAGCCACTTGCTTATGTAGGTGGTCGTGCATGGCCTGAACATCTGCCGTCAAGTTCTTTTCCTTCTTTAACTTCTTCAGCTCCTCGGCCTTTTGCACGTCCTCCTTCAAGTTTTATGTGCTTGTCTGTCCCTTCACTCTCCTTCTCCAGTTTGGTCTTTTGGCGTGCTAATGGGTCACCTGTCGGCATTGCAAGGGGTTCGCCTGCCATCATCTTGGCTATCTTTTACTTAGCCTCCTTCTCGTAGCCTCCTTCTCTATCTTCAACTCTCCTAACTAAATGGGCGATTTGCTTGTTCCCCGCTAGGCTGCCCCTTTTCTTTTTTCTTTCCCTACCTTTCCCCTCCTCACCTTCCTTCTTCTCCTTCTCTTCACCTTCCTTCTCCTCCTTTACTTCACCTGCTTCTTCTCCTTCTCTTCCTTCCCCTCCTTTTCCTCCTCCCCTGCGTTTTCAAATTCTCAATATCTCGAGTCCCCCGGTTCAGGAAGCATCAGTCCACTTTGGAGTTTCTTCATATGGGACCTCCTGACTGTGACAAAGAGCCCAATGGGAAGAGAAGGTGCAGTGAGGCTGGAACAGAACAGAGGAGGTTATAAATGCGAGCGTCAGCTGGTCGTCCATAGTTCCGGTTGCACTACAGTTAGTCAATAGACAGACCAATAACTGTCGACTTTCGACTCTCTATAGGACTGGTCAACTTCTCTCGTGCTCGTCAGCTTTCGTTTCCAACGGAGTTAACAGCGTGCTGATCCACCAGCCCTCACACCAAGAGAAGGGTTGTTTAACAAGCACCTCCCTCTCAGGCCAACACAGCGACTTTAACTTCAAGATTGTAGAGGGTTGTTGGGAACATTGACTTTCACTTCTAGAACTCTTGTTCCCCAGGAAATCTATGACATCCGTTGCTGGCCAAAAGCCATTTTAAGAACAGGCTGCCAAGTCCTCAGGAATTATTTTACATCGCGAACAAGACGACATGGCCAAGTGGATTTCAAACTGGTCCCCATAAAGTCCGGGCTCTACGAGCTCTACAACCCTCAACACATAGGACTTGTCAACTTGCTCTGCACCTAAAAGAGTTGACCACACGCTGGTCACTACCAGTCCTTGGGGCCAGACACATTGTCTAGCAAGTGTGCTGCCCGTGCAGCTATTGCAACTAGGGTTGCTCCATGGAGTCAACTTACCTATCTACAGCATGCAAACTGTCCGACTGACCTAAGAGCTAATGACAACAGCCGAAATTGATGACAGCAGCTCAATTCCCGAGAATACATCGGTGAAAATCCAGTAAAAAAATAAAACTAATAATTAAAAAATCCATCATCAAGAGTTCAACACGCAACAGGCAAGGCTAGGGTTGAGAAGCACTTCACTTCCCGATCACTTGCTGAAGAAGCTACATGTTCGCTCCAGGCGCTCCAGGCATACAGGTAAGTACCTCCTTCCAGTTTGACCTCTTCTACCTCATGATCAACCCTAAATGTCCCCCTTGCCGACTAAGGCTTCCTTCAATCCCTTTCCTCCACACTTGCCAGCCTCAATCCTTGCACGCCGGCTTGCTTACACCGTGCCGGACAACAGCCCGAGTTTGCTCTGATACCACTGCAATGATCCACAAATTCCACACTGCTCTCATAAGATCTCTTCCTACTCTACTCTCAAGCCTCTCTCTCGGGATGTCTTCCTCTGCTCTCTCTCTCTCTCTCTCTCTCTCTCTCTCTCTCTCTCTCTCTCTCTCTCTCTCTCTCTCTCTCTCTCTTGCTTGCTTGACCACACAAGACTGAAGCTGGGCATCCAGTCCAAGCACAAGTGGAAATTGTGTTGACGGTTTGCTGCTGCTGGACTTGTGCTGCAGTTCCAAAACTCTGACTTTTCCGGACAAGTACACTTCTTTGTCTGCCACTGTCCGCTTCCGACACTTCCGTGAGTTCTCACGGACATTCCTGGGATTGAGCTGCGACAGGATTGACATAGGCCGAGGAACCACTACCGACCTGGGCCTACCAGATTTACCTAACCTAGCGTACCTACTGTAGAGACGGAGCCTATTCGACCTACCAGTTGGGACTGCGGGATGTGGGACCCTGGGATTTGGGATCAGATTCGGGGACTTGGACGCTGAGACGCATGAAATCCTTTCAACATCTATGTTCATGAACCAAAGGAGCATGATGCACACATGATGCACATTCAATGTACACAAAGCTGGCAATTTGTAAGAGGCTTTACTTCTCACGGCGCATAGACTCTCATGTAGCCATGGTGGCAAGTGACCACATTACACTCTGCACACCAAGGTAGCATGATGGTACCTGCTTTGGCAAAATGGGAATCAGAGAAGTCACAAAGACGTTCACCATGGGTCACAAACAGGCAGCACGCTGATGAACATGGGTAACATTGCTTGCGGTTAGTAGAGGCAAGAATCACACACCTCGAGCAGCAGATGGCCCACCAGAGAGTCTCGGTTGACTGCACTATCCTCCATGGTGGGTGCAGATGTCACAGCTGGGTTTGCAGCTGCATTGGACTTCTTCAAGTTCACCTCCTCCTCTCCTGTTGGGGGCTCATTGCTTCTTGACGTGCTCCCGAGCCTGCTTTCTGGAACAGCCTTGGCAGATAATGAATCAACTAATTGAGTCCCTCCATTGCCAGTACACTTGCCGTGGTTTGCAATAGAGCTGGCCCAAGTGGTAAAGAAATGCAAACTGCATGCCAATTTGATGACCCCACCCATTAACCCAACAACCCGTTGATTTGCAATGTCTGTTGTCACATTGCGAAGAACCCGAGCCAATGCACAGAGTACAGTTAACACCTCTTTGCCCCTCTCATCTGGAACTGCCCAACCTGGAACGCCTTCAAATAGATGACCCTTGATTCCCTCATCCTCGATTCTAGCATATGTGTCCATGACAGTTGCAAGAATCCCTTCCCCTCTGAACAGAAGATCATTAGCTGTCTCTTTGCTGAGGTGACACAGGAGCATACATGCACTGTGGATAGCTCCCAACCTCAAATGAGGAGAACTCAAGGTCGGAGAGTATGTCTTCTGGTGCAGGACTGCACATGATACTGTGCATCCAGTCTTATCATGTAGTTTGGCCTCACTGAAATGAGCAGTACCTTGCTTTTGTTGTCGAACCTTGCCTTCCTCAGAAACACAGTTTTGCAGTCCATTCCCTTCATTGAGGACATGTTCTTTGTCCTGTGGCAGCCTGAAATGAGAGCTGCTGATCCCACCAGTGACCATATCAGTAGCAGATGCCTCTTTCGCTGCATCAGGGCAACCATTCTTATTATTGTCCGCACATTGGCCATGGTATGAGGCGCTAATGCAATCGCTGCTGTGTCTTAGAGGAGGGTCCGTCATGTATGTAGGACCAGCATGGCTGTTTCCATGACTTAGGGCTGCGCCTGCATCTGCGCTAAAAGGTAACCTCTCGCTCACTTGGTCTGTGAAACACCCCCCTCGGTTTCCTCCATGGTTGCACGGACTCTTCCAGGCAGCAGAGTGACCTTCCTCATGACGTCTGTAAAGTTTGCTTCCTATGACCAGAACCAGCTTTGCAACTCTCATCATGCCCGTCGTCACCAAGGATGATGGAAAGGAGGGTGATGAATACTGAACCATAGGTGCCACTACACATGGAAGGCTTTGTGCCAACAACACCTCTGATGATGGGGAGGAGGGAGGGGGTGATGATGATGAGGAGGAGGAGGAGGAGAATGAAGAGAAAGAGGATGATGATGACAGTATTGGACATGACATGGTTGCTGTGGCTGATGGGAGTAGATGTGTGGTGCAGCTCGTCACGCATGAGCATGGCACTTGAAACGAATCCCAGACATGCACGTCCACGAACAATGTGATCTGGGTAAATATCCGTTCGCCAAGGGAATGGCATGTGGGCATGGAACACTTGCTACATGCACCATCACCAGATTCCATCCAGCAGTGGATACAATCCTGGAATTGTTGCTGCTGCTTATTGGAATGCTTACCATTATGAAACATCCTGTCAGTTCCTCCCCTCTCTTGAGAACGAGATTCACATTTGTCCACTTGTGGAACAGCACACTGCTCCATCGTCACCTGCTCTACGTCCTCGACCAGGGCAGCAAAGGCTCCCAACAACTGATCCTGGTTACTTGTGTCTATGAACCTTTCCAGCATCTTGAGAGAGCTCAATAATTTATGCAGTGTGAGAGAAATCTTCTTCTCGTGCTTTCTACCACGCATATTCATATTCATGTTAGCACTCTCCCGCTCGCTAAAGCTACCCTCCAAGTTGGCATCCCTCTCGTACCCACTACTCCTACCCATTTCATGCTCTTTTTGAAATACCTGCCCTTCCTTGCCAGCAACACAATTCTTTCCGGTAAGGCCATCCTCACTATCATCATCATCACCATCACGAGTGCCATAGTTTGCTAAGCTCCTGCATCCATTTACATTTCGAACAGCCAATCCCACCTTTGCATTCCGGACTTGTATTCTGCCCATCAGCTTTGTCCTCCCTTTTGTAAGCCCAAGCCCTTCACTGATCTTCACCAAGTCTCGGAGCACCACCACAAGCTCATCTTCCAATCTCCTTCTTCCCCCTTTCCTTTTCCTTCGCTTCTCCTTGCATCCGACTTTGCCCTCAACTTTGTCCTGATGCTGCCCATTCTTCGTGCCATGCCACTTCCTGACTCCTGGACCAGGACACTGCATTCCAGATTGTTTACGAACAGAGGTTGGGTGCACTCCCTCCACTCCAGCCTCTGCTCCCTGCAAACTATTGGTATCGATTGTCTCCAACAACACGGCCGAGCGGTCCTCCCCTCTGACTCCAACACCCTCTTTCGCTCCTTGTACTCCCTCACCGCTACTCTCGTCACCTCCTCCCTCTGCCCGTCCTCTTCCTGCTCTTGTCACTGAGCCCAACCACATTCCCTGATTGCCATAATGCCTCAGATGCAGAAGATCTGGGTTAATTGGGCAGCTCTGCCCAGTACTCGTGTCCTCCAATGGCACATGTCTTTCCCCCGCTGTTGAAACTATGTCCTTTGGCTTCTCTTCACTTCCAATTGGTAACTGCTGAGCACATCCACTTCCTGTAAATGTAGAGGACTCCCTGCGATTACACGGCATCTCAACATTGCAGCCGACCTCTGGCATCTCCTGCGTCTGTTGACCATCTTCCGCATGCCCAGTCAAAGATCCCTGCATGGTGGTTGTCCATCTCACTCGTGAATCACCAGAAATGGGGGTGGCAAGTGGTTCGGTTTGCCCACCTTCTCTGCTTAAGGGTATGTTCCTCTCTTGCTGAATGCTTACGGACCCCTCCATCCCAAGGCTTTGTTCTTGCATTGTACCCTCTTGAGACCTTCTCGGCTCGTGCTGGTCCTCGTAGGGATTGGCTACATTCTGATGGCATGCAGGATAGCAATACTGATGTGCACCCTGTAAGGGGCCATCAAATGGCATTCCAGCATGACGTGGATCAGTGCAATGGTAATGATAGTGATCATGTTGGTGAAACTCAGTCACCTGCCCTTGTGGGTAGTAGTGGTGATGATGGTGATAGTGATGATGGTAATGATGGTTATGCATCTCAAGACTGTGCGCGGCACAGAAGTCCTCACTGTTGTAGACACCAGATTCCCAACTTGGATCTGCAAGAGGAAGACTCCAAGGTTCCAGAACATTACCATTGTAGTCAGAGCTGTCATCTGGACGCCATCCGCCCATATCAATAACCAGCCAACAGGGATCTGAATCACCACCATTCGTCTTAAGAATAGAATATGCTGACAGCAGTCCTGGTTCTGTCGATTTCCTTGTGAAAGCCACCATTGGGGTAGGGGGCAAGGGTGGGAGTGAAGAGGTTGTGTCCTGATTTCGGCTTGCTGGCTTCGCATCTTCCACCTGCTGTGGAGGTTGCCTGGGAACAGGACTCAACCTCCTCCGTGCGCTGACTTCAGCCTCTGAAAAGGGGTTGACACCAAACAAGGGGCCATGAAGACCACCATCACCAGCTTCCCATCCAACAAATGTTGTGCCCCTCCTTTCAACATGCTCAGCAGGGCTGACCTCTTCAACTAACCAACGCCCATGCACCAGATTTGCTTGCTGCGCCAGCATTTCCCCCATACTGAAGCCATATGGGCCACTAGGGACAAAGCTTGCTGAGTTCATACAGTTCATTTCATTCTCCATCCCAAACACAGAATCATGGTCAAACACAAGGTCAAACTCTGTTCCCATACCACCAGCTTCATTAGTGTCTCCATTTTGCCCAGCAAATCGCATTCGCTCACTCATGATATCATCTCTCAGACTCGGTTGCAAAGGATGAACGGTCCTATCGTTGAAATCGCTCCTGTTTTCATAGACATTACCATACCCTGGCATTGTTCCTCCTATGAGCCCGTACCCCCTCCTGCGGGACCAAGCTTCCCTTCTCCCTGAGGAGGTGTCCAGCAACCCATTCACACGTGGGTCATCTTGTATTGCCTCAGCAGACACTCTGGTAGACTGCCACGTACTCTCTGAATGGACAGAATGAAAGGAGTTTGCATTATGAAAAGAATGGTTTTCCTGGCAAACTGTGGTACTTCCTCTTTGAGAAGAGGCACCACAACTACTGTCTGTCTGATCTGGAGCCCTTATCCCTTGGGATAACACCTCTTGGAAGTTTGATGACTGAACAACGCCGTTAAGACCTGCAGATTGGCCTGTTGAACTTCTGGAATGATACGTGTTTAATGCAATTCGCGGTAATGTGATGTTGTCACTGCTGCTATTACCGCTGCTGCTGCTGCCGGGAGAGCAGAAATAACCAAACAACGAATTACCTAGCAGCCCTTCTTCATATTTGGGGCAATTATGAGGGGTGAGAGGTTGAGCACCTTCTGATGGGGTACATTCACAGCCACGTCCCCCGCTTGTTGAGAGAGGGATCACCCCACAGGCATGAGCATTAGCATCCCTTACACCGGATTCACATGCCATCCCGTTTGTCATTTCATTAGCGATGGTATTCTCTATCTTGCCTCGATACCTCGCATCCTCGTGAGTCAACACACTCTCACTAGTAACTTTGCTTCTTTTCAGATGCCCATCCATGGACCTGATTTCTTGCAACTCACTAATTCCGCTGTCCAGCGTTTCAGGACCACTTCTTGCACTACTAGAAGCAGCTCTACCTCCTATATCAGGACCAGCAACGGCTTGACTCCTTTGATGATCAAATGACTCGCGACCTTTCACTGCAGATTGCTGCACAACAGGTCCACAAGCACCCAGGCGTTCATCACGGTCTGTGACCTCAACAACCCTACCTTGGGAATACTCAACCTTGGGATCAGCGGCAGTTAAAGCTCTTTCTAGCCGACCATCACGATCCCTCCTCTGCGGTGGATTGAGGACATTAGGTTCCAAGTTCTGAGACAGGGAGTGACGAATCTCCAAGTGACGAGATGAGCCTCTCTCCTCTGAGACACACATAGATTCATGAGCACCCTGCAACTCATTGCCATTGTGACGGCCTTCGGGGACAGTTGGAATGTCACCTCTCTTGTCGTTTAGTTGTGGCAAGGGAAGAGGTGCATTCCGCCGCAGTGGATGGCTTGACCCTATGGGCCGACGAGGAGCACAAGGTCGACGATGACTCCGGCTTGTTGAAGCTCCATTCTGCGATGACGAAGAAGTCCGAAGCAATTCGCAGTTTTTGCCCTGTATCATCGGATGTCTGCGAGGTGAGACTGCGGGGATGGCAGCTGCATAAGGGGAGCGCGCACATGCAGCCGGCTGCCGTGACTGCTGTTGTGATGGTCCCAGTTCCATAGCACCAGCCACATCCCTTGCAGGATCAAGAGACCACCGCGATCGGGAAAAAGAAGCATTCGTCACTGGTGCTGAAATGTCCAAATGGTTTGCATTATTCCGTGTCCTCAACTGGCGCATATCTTCCAGCGGCGTGTAAGGTCGAGATGGGTGCTTAAGAGAAGCCCTGGCCTCCCTCAGCACAGTTGCCACCGTTGACCGGGAAACCAAGGGGTCACGAGTGGGGGACCCATGTGAAGAGGCCCGCCAAGAGCTGGACTGTGATGATGGTGACTTCATTTTGCCACAGCCTTGATGTTTAGTGGGAGGGTCGCCTGCTGCCTCAGCCTGGCTGGTCCTTATAATGTGGAACGGACTTTAATGCTTCAGCAATGATGGAGCAGTAGGCATCAGTTCCATGCCAAAACATGTTCACCAGTGATCACCTTGGGGCACTGATCGGAACTCCACGGTGGCCGTCACAGCTGGACTTGTTGTTTCATCAGCATTTGTAGCAATAGACGACTAATAGTATGTTTCCTCCGCTAGATGGACCACTAGAGTTGACAAGGACTAGAGAAGTATTAAAGAAGGGAAATGCTTTTGATCAGATGCCACTGGCATTCATGCAGAGGGACTGAATCCGTACGGCCCTGTATGTGAAACTCCCAAAGCAGAAAGGCAACAACGGCATCCAGTTCTGTTAGAAGAGGGACATATCCTGCCAGAATCACGGTGGAAATTTTCTCTTTCTTAAAGAAGAGCACACGTCAAGCCCAAGCAATGTCCAGAGCAAAGCAGTGATACCCTCAACAAAAGCAAGAATCCTTAACACCGCAGACATCTTCTAATATCTCGACAGCAGGTTCAACTAGTGTCAATGATCACGAGGACGTGCAAGGCGTCCTGCAGTGATTTTCATTGACCTCTCTCTCTCTCTCTCTCTCTCTCTCTCTCTCTCTCTCTCTCTCTCTCTCTCTCTCTCGACCATTACCGATCTATATATAAATCATCATTATCTATCTATGTATATCTTTCTTGTATAGCATGTGTCACCTCCCCTCTCTAGGCTTGAGAGTTCTCGAGTAACAACTCCTCTGTCCACTGCAGCCGGTTTATTACCAATGGCTCAACATAACCATTTGTTCCATCAGTAGTCCTTGCCAAAATGCACGAAAATGTGCCTGCCAATCATGGAACTGCGCGCGTTAAAATGACTTCCACAGTCCCAATAGCTTTCTCAGACTTGACACATCTTGCTCTTGACTTCTCCATCATAGCTGGTTGCTGGTTGCTGGTTGCTGGTTGGATGACGGACCAGTTGCTTATATGTGCTCCTTCCTTTCCACTTCAGTAAAACACTGTTCCATGGCGCAACTCTTTGCATACCAATAACCTGTGTTGCATACCAAGAAGCTTCCTGAGACCTTCATTCGTGGCGTATGATCTGGGTAGGGCATCATACCTTTTGGGAAACATTTGAACAGTCAAGAAAACTGTGCATAAACTCGCAACGATCAAAAGAAGGCCCTTCGCCTCATCTCATCATTTGACAAAACAGTGGATAGTGCAACGCTTCTCATTCATACATGAATTGTTGCATTGATGATCATCACTCTCTCTCCATGAAGTAAGCCGTGGTTTTGTATCTCCGTCATGCCAAGGTTAAAGCGTGTTTTTTTTTTTTTCTTTTTTTTTTTTTTAAGCGTGGTTTTGTATCTCGGTCATGCCAAGGTTTTCAGTACACCTTGTTAAGCTGTAGGCTTCGCGTTTTACTTAGGGGTTCCATGGTAGGGTCTTGGCTTTTCTAGGTTAAGGTCTTGGGATACCGGTCAGGGTTTAGGCTTTAGGGTTTACTGTGCCGGTTATACCCCCCCTACCCCTCGCCCCATCCCCCAGGATAGATTTATATTTGAGCTATCAACGGCGGCTCCCACCTCAGTGCCAGGGACAATGTGATCATCCTCGAAATTGACAGCAGCCTCAACCATGATCATTCTGAGGGTAAGAAAGAAAGGGGTTGGGGGTTCAGGATTTAGGATTTAGGGTTTAGGGTTTAGGGCTTAACGATCGGGGTTTGTTCAGGGTTCAGGTCATGTCGCGATTGATGCCGCCTTTTCCTCCAGAGGGCACAGGGACGACTTCAGCGGCCCGACATCACAACTTCACGTCCTCCCACACAATTACGGCAGAAAACACCCCCAGAGAGAGATCCCGATGCTGGAAAGTGACGAACACAGCATACTCCACCGGCTTACGGCAAACTCACATTAGCACTCTCCTAAACGTATCTGACCGCAGTTGCTGCCCGACCTGGATGCATCTGACAGCAATCGCGTCCAAAGGTCAGTCCAAAAGTCCAGGTGCAACTATACCCTCAATAAAGTGTCCTCGTCATTCTCGATGTGGCGCCACAGAAGGGAAGGGAACCCGATCATAACCCTACAGCTGCCCCCTCTTCGACGACAATTTAGATGTTGCCTTTTTACTTATTCCACGTTCAATTCGACACGCGTACACGTGTACGGTCCGATGCGTGTACAATCTGACACGTGTCCAATCCGACCGGTATACGCAAAACACAGTACATCAAGTGATCCCCATCATAATCCAATGACTGACGAGTTTTTGAAAACCATTCAGATCGTCTCTTCGATTAATCCACGTGTCCACCTGACATGTCTCCACCCTGACACATGTCCAATCTGACACGTGTCCAATCTGATACGTGTACAATCTGAAACGTGTAGTACAATCTACGAGTACAACGTGACACGTGTACAATCTGACGCGTGTGGTACAATATGACACGTGTACAGACCGACATGCGTCCAATTCCGACAGGTATAAATTAGACACGTGTACAATCCGAAGGATATACGCAGAACGCAGTACATCATTCCAGGTTTCGTCAAGAGGGGTCCTTTTCCCTGCAACCATGGACTCTCCTTTCCAGTCCATTTCCCTCTTTCTCTCCTATACCCTATTTCGCCTACCGCTGTACCCTCTCCGTCCATCTTTCTCCTAGCACTTTACCCTCTCTCTCTCTCTCTCTCTCTCTTTCTCCCTACACCCCCTTCCCCATCGACAAACGCACTCGGAGGATGCCACACCCTCAGCCGCCGTTGTCCTCATCCCAGCTGTCAGGTGTTATAACGCCATTCGAGTCCGTAAGCCATTCGCGCCCGCACGAAACCTCCAATTCATTTGTCCCTTATCCCTTATTCCTTTCCCGCCATAACCCTTTTTCCCCCCATATCCCTTGCTCGCCACCACCCTTCCCCACCATCACCCTTTCCATTTTCCTCCCAGCCACCGTCATTGCCTTCACTAATACCCTCACCTTACCTTATCCTGCCCCGTTATCGTCTCTATCTCTGCACCCCTTGTTACGATTTGTCCATACAAGCGGATGACGGAGGGGAGAGAGAGAGAGAGAGGGAGGGAGAGAGAGAGAGAGAGAGAGAGAAACGGAAGGGGCAGAGAGGAGAGACAGAGAGAGAGAGAGAAAGGGAGGGTACTCGCGCACCCCCTTCATATCACGAATCGTCATCTTCGGTGCGTTCCTCTCACACTCACACCTTACCCCATTCATCGCACGCACAATTGGCTGCGGGTTGACGGAATGACACCGCCGCCTCTCTCTCTCCCACGTATAACTTGCTGCGTGCTGACTGAATGACACTGCCATCTCTCTCTCTCTCTCTCTCTCTCTCTCTCTCTCTCTCTCTCTCTCTCTCTCTCTCTCTCTCTCTCTCTCTCTCTCTCTCTCTCTC